ATAATGAAGAAGATGGATATCCTGATTGAAGATGTATCGCCAACTTGTTAGCTCACCTCCCCCTTTCCCATTCCAAGAAGAAGAAGAAGGACCCTCTGAGGAGGATTAAGTACTAGGCATCCAGGGCTAAGTTCTATCTTTTCTTTTTCTTTTTTTTTTGCTCTTCTTTTCTTTTTCTTTAAACAATATTTAATTATTGCTTTTTTTCGTTTTAATTTTCATACTTTAAATACTCGTAATAGTAGTAACCTTACTTATATTATCTACTTATCGTACCTATGTCTTATAATAATCTTCATCTCTTTCTTATGCACTTACCTAGAAGCAATACTCAGTTTTTTCAAATTTGAGGGTTCCAAAACACTTGTTTCTTGCAACTTCCTACTCAGTATGCTTTGGATTGATAGATGATTGATCTGTTGTGTTCGCTAGGAATTAGTTGCATGATTAAAGTATCGGTGTATGAGAGGTTTTACTCTTTTCTTCCTCTTTGTTGAGTTGATAATGTTTGTTATTTTAGGAAGAACATGTGTGCGGGACTCTCTGTCATTTTTTAAATCAAAACTTTTACAAATTTGTGCTCAACTTTGAAAAAATCTTTTGAAAAAGGGGTTCATGTGAGAGGCAACCGAGCATAGTGTTTGAGGTAAGCCGTCAAAGGGATTTTCTCTTGGCTCAGAGTGCCATTCGAGGATGTGTTTGGGATTCGGATAGCTTTATTGCGTCCCAACCATCTTTCACTACTTACCATCCTCCAAACACCTCTCCTCCGCACGGAATTGTATGACAAGGTACAAAGCACCTTTTAGCGATTCAAGATACCTCAACTATCGTTTGTACCCAACATGTGTGGCAACCCAATGTGAGTGCAGGCTGGTAAGTGGTGCTCAGCCTAAGACGAATCCGCCCATCAAATTCTCCACATGTGACCTTGAATAGGGAAGGCAATGATCCATCCGCTCTTGGTCATGAGTAAGAGATGATTTCTTGCAAAGAGTTTGCAAAAGTTTGGTGCAATGCGCATCAACGTTGAAAAATGAGACCAATAAAAGGCAACCCATAAATTTAAAGAAAGAATAAAGAGCACCCTCAAGAGTTCTTGTGCTTAATTGTTGTTGAGAAGTCCCCCGGTGCACACCTTGAATGTTCATCCCAAGGTAGCAGGTATGGTCGTCACCAAGGAGTTTGTGCTTACACAGTAAGATGATAGTAACGTTTACTCATCTCTGTTTACTCTTCTTTATGCAATGAAGAACTAGAGTGCCCCCCCCCCCCCCCCCCCCCCCCCCCGAATATATTTGTCTATCAAGTTGCACTGGTTTGAGTAGGTTCGCTTACGGACAAGGAAACACCTAAGTGTGGGGGAGTTTGGTAACACCCAAATTGGTGCTATTTGCCCTTCATTTTTAGGTTTGTTTCATGCTAATTCATGTGCATAATTAGAAGAATATCATCGATTGCATCCGTATTTTGTTGCTATTTTATTATTTCGTGATTTTAGGGTGATTTTGATGATATATGTGATTTAGGTACAAAAAAGTGCACAAGTGTAGGAAAATGAAAGGAAGCTGAAGATCACAGCCTAGACATGGAAGATCTCGGCCGAGACATTAGATCGCAAAGAAGTAGAGAAGATCGCGGCCTGGGAACCATAGTTCGCGACCCTGAACATGGAGCCCTTGGGCGCGAACTTCCTAAGGAATCCACCCAAGAAGGAACATAAAGTTTCGACGGTCGGATCACGATGATCGTCTTCCCTGACCGCGAGGAAGTTTGCGACCGCAACTCCGCGACCGTGAAGTCAGCCCGCGAACTCCCAGCAGAAGAAGAACAAAACGGCGATGCTTGAAGATCGTGTTCTCGAAGGAAAAGATCATGACCGCAATCTCCCCCTACTCGGCCGCTAACTTGTTCGTCCCTTGAAGTTTATAAAAAGAGGACATCTTCCCCCATTTAAAGATATTTGATTTTGAGAGATAAATTTCTGATTTAGAGAGAGAGAAGCTAAAAGAAGAAGAGGAGGAGAAAAAGGAGAAGGAGGAGAAGCTAGAGGAGATGAGTTATCTTCTTCAACATCAAGCCTTTCCCAAATCTTCTATGTATCTTCCTCCCTCCTTTATGGAGGAGGCTCTTAAGGTACTAGGGGTTCTAAACCCCAAACCCTAGTTTTAGGGCTATTATGTAATGAATGAATAAGTTAGGATTTTGAATGATTGTGTTTGTCTAATTGATTTTAATGTTTCGTCTACTTTAATTGTGCTTGGGTAAGTCACCCTAATCTTCTCTACTAGCCTACTTGAGCTTTTATGTTGGGTATGGAGTTTTAGGGTTCGACAGGTATGTGCCATCTAGAAAATTAGGGTTGGATGAATGAATAGGGTCTTCTGGTGGACGAGGCGACCGTACCCCTACCACAAGAACACCTTCATAGATGGAACATGATGAAACCTCGGTGTAGAAGGTGGGTAGTACCCATTGAAATGAGCTAAGTTCTTAAAACTCCATATACATGAGCCTATACCGAGGTGTGTGGATAATCATGAAGGCCCATGGAAAAGAGCTCACTCACCACATTCGCTTAACCCAACATTTTTAGTCATTTGCATGATAGACCTAGGCTAGGGCGAGGGTTAGTTCCCCGATGTACCTGCTTTTATCCTTATTTATTCTTTCTACTAGTTATCTCACTTGAATCCTCCAAAACAGCCCCTAAAACCGATCGGCTAGATAACAACAACGTGGGAAGTATGCTAGGGTACCGAGACCCTGATGAGTACGACCTTGCTTGTCACTATAGGACAATGTCATTATCGGTTAAACTTGGCCTACCTAGAAATAGAATGAGGTAATTAATGATATGTGCAAACTATTGACAATGACCTACACAAAATGAATCGATAACAAAGCGTAAGGGTCACATAAAATCCAAAGAAACGCCAGGCGTAGTGATAGTCAGAGCTATAAATTAGTTTAATGAGGCCTTTCTAGGCATAATGAGTTGTAAAGGTTATTGTTGTTTTGTGGCTCATCGGCATTAACTTTATACTTCTCAAAGACAGAAACCTATCTACCCTCCTCCACATTATGACGCACAAATTATGTTCACCCAGTGTAGAAGATTCTGCATTCTCTACCGGGTGCAGTGAGCATATTTGGATAGTCTATCTATAGCTTGTTTGTTATGCAGGTTAAAAAGACATCTTAGGAGAGAGAACCTCAAATGAGTCAAATCAGCCCGCTTTAACTGTTCATCCGGGCCCCACATTCTAGTCCCCACCAAAAAATAGTATGGTTCTGGTTCATCCATTGATATGTTTGCTAGCAATGAGCTGCTATAATAAATGTTCCCGAAAGCGCTAGGTATAAGGAAAACTTTGAGACTCTACTTAGCGCATAGAATGTTTAGGTGTTGTCTAAGTGTGCACAAACTTTAGATGTAAGCGTAGCAAAATATCTTATATTTGTCTACAATCACAAGTTTATGAACCAATATTATTAAGCATCTATTCTTATTTCTAAACATTCATCAACAACAAATGGTAAAGTGTATAACATAGTGTGGAGAAATGAGAAGGACGAAGAAGCTGGAAAATAACGAAGCAGATTAAGAATGAAGAAGCATAAAAAAAAATGGAGGACGGTCTTGATTTCTCTATAATCTAGTAGCTTATCAAAAGATAGAAAAAGAACATCGCGACATCATTTTGAGGCACAACTCAATGATGACTAGGCGCTGCCGAGGCCACAACATGATTGTGACGCCTTGTTTGCTGCTTTTGGGCAAGACGAGGTGTGTTCCTTATGACTTGTGCCTAGGTGAGTTTAAGCGAGTGCCAAAACGCGCCCTTTATATGGTAGTAATACAATCATAATTGTAGTAGTTCATTGTCTTTTTTAATTATCTATAAAACTAAGACTCCAGCATGGACTATTACAATCCATGGTAAGCAGGATGCTAACCCGCTATAAGATTAGCACAATATTTGGTCCCCCAATAACACTCTTTAAGGCAGAGTATTCTCGTGGGTATGGATGATGGAACCTACGAGGTACATGAGATTTTGTGAAGGCAGCACAGCCGACCAATGGAACACAATCCCATTGTGTGATGGAGGAAGCAGGCCATGAAGAATGAAGTAGTGGTCACTGTTTGTTTTGGTAACCCACTTGTCCACAATGATTGAAAATGATTGATCCCAAACCCAAATTGCCCTCCATACAATCTAAAAGCTACATTACCAAATCGGTAAAGCCTAAACCACAATTTTCATCACCGACCTCCCAACCCATCAAAATATCCTACCGCCGGGGCAGATGCATTGCCCGTCGGCCGGGTAAAAGAAATAGAAAAAGCGATAGCCAGCCCCGTTCTACCTAAATATTCTTTCTTGTGAGCGGATCCTTTTCCTTTTTGAGATCACCGTCAAGATTCTTGCGCAACTTGCAGCAGCTAATCCCACAAATATCCAGCCGTACGTCTCTAAAAGAGAAAAAAAGAAACAGTTGCTCTTAAATCGGATTGCACGCACTTATGGCACGGAATTCATAAATAACAGAGGGCATCAAAAGGGGAAACCTTTTTTTCAATTCTTGCTTGCAGAGACAACTTGCACATCATTAAAATCATTTAATGACAACAAGTTGACAACTCTCTCTCTATCTCTCTGTCCAACCATGATGCATCATCACTTGCTACCTAGCTGCAATTCCACAGTTTACACAGGCAAAGATTAACGAACCAAAACACCAAATCAAAATCATAGCATTGACGAAATAAAGCACTTCGAAATCAACCCCCAATTCCTCCCCGCTTTCCCTTTCCGTGTCATCTCCATCGTCTTCGTTCTGAGTTACCCACTACTGAAAATAACCAACCAACGAAACACCGCCGTGGTAAAAGTAAAACTCCTCCCAAAACAAAGCTCGCGGCGGCGCGCTTCGGAGATCTCTCTGGTGTCGTTTCCCTTTTATTTCCTATCCAAAACTCCGGTAACTACGTACTACTTGGGGCTTGTTGAGCGCAAGTAACCTAACCGCTCGGCCAAGGTGTTCACGTCTTCCTGTTCTTCCCCTCCGCCGTCGCCGGTGCTCTCACTCAACAATTCTTCCCAGAACCCGTCGTCGAGTTCCCGGTCCGATGTAGATTCGAAACCGTCCTCTTCCACTTCCTCCTCCTCCTCCTCTCTCTCCTTCCTAATCCCCTTCCCGTACCCTTGCATCTCAAGCGCCAGGGCTTCCAGCTCCGTCAATCCAAACGGCGATGCTCCGTAATCAAGCGGCTCCGATTTCACTGGCCGATTGCTCGATTCGCCAAGGGCGTAATTGGTAGTCCTACTACCGCGGCCCTGGTCAATCGGCCGCCTCCGCTTCTTGCTCAGGGCTTCCTCCAGCTCTTTCCTCTTCCCCTTCTGCTGCGCCAGCTGATGCAAGAAGGCCGGGTTCCGAACCGCCCGGGCCAGGAACTGCATCATCTGTTGCTGCTTCGTCTCGGTTCCTTGCAGCCTCTGCTCCAGCTCCGCCACGTAGGCCTTTGTGCTCTGTTGCTGCTGCCGGAGCTTCACCAGCTCCAAGGTCAGCACCTGTTTGTCTCGCTTCAATCGGTCGATTTCCCCGTCAAAACCGAACCGGCCGAGCTCGACGGCGGCGCTGCCCCCCGATGCTTGATGATGATGATGAAGGTGAAATTGATTGGGAGGAACGGATAAGGTCTGAGAATGGAAAGAAGATGGATGAGGAGAAGGAGAATTAGGAGGAGCTTTCCTTCGCCGGATGTTCTTCAGCAGATGCTTGTGGCCCTGGAGGAATTCCTCGTTGCCGAATTCCCATCGCTCCGGATCAATCTTGCGGAAACCCTGTAGATCTCAGCAAAAATTTTCAAATAAAAACATTATAATTTGGGAAAGGGAGAAAATATCTTTGGCCAGATAATGATATAATAATAAAAACAGGAGCTCTTCTAGCCAATAGGAAATCGTCATCACTGTAGCTTAAACGTTGAAATGAAGCCGATTCCAGCCAATTAATCATTGCCTAAGAAACAATGAACAAACACCAGAGGAAAACACAGAGAGACGGGTGATCAATTTGGAACCAAAGGATCAATTCGCAGAGACGATGAGGCGATGGGAGGAGGAAGAAGAAGAATAGATTTGAATTCAATCGACAAGATTGAAAGTAATTGATTAATTAGGTTCCAGAGTAAAAGAAATGATACTCACGTAAGTGTTGAGCTGGCGGACGAAGCTGGAGAAGTTATTGTGCTTGAAGAATCGAGGGAGGAGGTTGGTGGAGAAGGAATGCGGATCCCAGACCACGAAGCTGGTGCCGCCTCTGCTCCACGAGACGACGTGATTTGTGATCGGATCGTCCACCATCTCGAATGTCTTGGTCAGGAACGGCGGCGGCCCGACCTCGTGGAGACCTTCGATCGGCTGCGGCGCCACCGCAGTCAACGTCATCGTCGCCGCCGGCGAATGATCACCGGATCCCCCTGGGTACTCTTCCTTTACAGTGAAGAAACGATTCATCTCTCTCTCTCTCTCTCTGTTTTCTATCGATTCCGGTCCTCGGTGAAAATTCCCAATCACTAGTCCTCCGGAATCTAAGTCTGTGAGACGCGATGAAATGCCGAGAGGAGGAGGAAGAAGAAGAAGAAGCGGGAGAAAAACAGCGGCCGGCAATCCTTACACATAGGAGAAATTCGGGAGGTGTAGTAAGTCAATTAGGTCGCAGCGTTGCTCTGTTTAGGACTGTGGGGGAGCTAGCAATGGAAAATGCTGGGCTGGTCTTAGTGTGCAGTCCGAAGGGGAAGAAATGGGGATTGGATTTCTTATATAGAGGGATGCCGACGAGCCGGCTAGACGATGAAGAAGAAGAGAAGAGTGGTCTAATTTACAAAAAAACCGCTCCGAAACTTCCAGATCTCTCATATACATGGGGTAGAAGCTTGGAATTTTTTTTTCTTTTCTTCAATTTGTGCATTTTTTTATGGCAAGAAAGTCAGACCTCTGTATATTTTTATATCTTGTGCACTTCGCTGCCTAAACTTTATGTTAGGTCAAACAGGTACATAAAATCTTATGTTAATGCGACTATGACTATATAGTTGGTTAATTACCGGGGAACAAAACTATATAGTTGGTTCCAGGTAGAGGTGGCAATTGGATAGGATTCTTGGATTGGATTGGTGGTCTATGAATCAAATGGATTGGATCCAATGGACTGGTGGATTCATGGATTGGATCAAATGGATTGGTGGATTGATCCATGAATCCAAATGACATCTAAGACTTGGGCCAAAATATAAATTTTGCAATGTTTAGGTACTAAAATGTCATAATTAAAAATTTAGGTACCAGAATGTAATATTCCGATGATATTTTTTGTGTAAAAAATATAAATTTTAGGTACCAAAATGTAAAATATAAAAAATATAGGTATCAAATCATAATTTGCCATTTCAATCAAATGAATTGGATTTAAATGGATTGGATTAGGTGGATAATTAGGTGGATTTATACAAAATTTACTGGATATGAAACTTATGTAAGTACCATGAGTAGCAGATATTAAGATGATTAAGGATCAAATTGGTCTTATGGCTTTTATTATGCAAGTATGTTGGTATTTGGCAAAATCCAAGCAGGCTTTCTTCATTTGGGAGGTAAGAGAGATGGAGAGAGAGGATTGTGGTCCATTTTGGGGAGGAGCGGAAACTTCTGGAAAATACGCCTCCGCCTCCTCCTCCTGCCTATTGGATGGAAGGATCAAAAGATGGAATGGCAAAGCATGGGATGGGGGGTGGCATTGTTTGTTTTTATTATTATTATTTTATGGCTTTTGTTTGCTTCTCTTTAATAACATGGTATTTGTCGCCTACGAATCTTATGTGATAATATATATAATAGAATTTTTGGTTTATTTATTTATGAGGGTGGGTTGGGGCGGATCTTTACAGAGAAGGATAGTGGTGGGTATTGATTTGAGAGGGGGATTATTTCCTCAACTCCGATTGGCTGAATTGTTTAGAAGGGTCGACCAGTGACCCTCGGTGGATGCTCCCTTTTCTTTAAATGTGGGGTTTCTTCCCCCAAAATGTTGTCTTTATGAAGATAATTATTCAAAATAATGATTTCCGTAAACTATTTCCCCAATATATGCTTGTTTTACCTTTTAAGGTTAATTGGCGTTCGTACGAATTGGTGAATGGTGATGAACAAAAATAAAAATAAATTAGGGTGCGGATTATCTGATTGAGTAAGGAATTCGTGGTTATTGCTAGTATTAATCCAGAGGGAAAATTGACGTTGGAGAAGAGCGGGATCACGGGAGCGACTTTTATTACGAGGAATTTTACAATGCTATATAGCATTGGTGCTATAGGTTTTTGCTTTTATGGTACAACTTGAAATTGTACCTTTAATGTTATGGTACAACTTCATATTGTACCTATATTTTTTGTACAAATTCTTTTATGGTACAACTTTAACTTGTACCTTATGTGATGGAACAATTTCAAGTTGTAAAGTTGTACCATAACATAATGCTACAAATTCCTTTATGGTACAACCTCAACTTATAGATTTAATGTTATGGTACAACTTCAAGTTGTACATTGAAGCACCAATGCTATATAGTATAGTAGAAGATATCATTTCCTTAAATTCAGAACGGAATGCTCTCGACTGCAAGCAACGGAACCACCGCTCCGGTGCCGGCTCTGCTTCCCTCGGATCGGCCGCCTGACCCTCTGAATCTCTCGGCGACGGCTGCCTCTAATCCTTTAACTTTGAATGTGGCGCAAGCCACTTGTTCCTCTAATGGCAATTGATTCCTCTTCTTTGTCTGTGCAGCAGGTGACGATACAAGACCCAGCGACAGGAGGGGTTCCTGGACAAGGGAACGTGACGGTGACTGGTCAACCTTTCTCGTATGCTAATGCGGTCTTGGGAATGCCACAGAAAGCGACAATTCTGAATCAGTCTTTTCAATGGACTCCGGTAGGAGAACATGATCTGGTGCCCGGCGAACGGAATGGAGAACCGGCTCTGGCTATTTCGGCGGAATTCAAAGGAAAGCTCTGTGCACCCTGGCAGAGAACGCTAGTGGTCCGCGTACTAGGGTTGAGGATCGGGTTCGTCACGCTCTGTAATCGACTAAAAAGCTTATGGCGGCCGATAGGTGCAATGGAGGTTAAAGACCTGGATCACGACTGTTTTCTAGTCAAATTGGACAACGAACAAGACTACTTCCGCGCTCTAACCGACGGACCATGGGTTATCTATGATCATTATCTGGTCGTTCAGCAATGGACGCCTAAGTTCAAGGCCTCCGACCCCCTTCCAAAAACCATGATCGTTTGGGTTCAGCTCCCTGCTCTGAAAATCCATTTTTACCATAAGGAGGTGATTACCATGCTGGGGAATCTTATTGGTCGAACCATTAAACTGGACTACCATACTTTAAACCAGCAACGAGCTAAGTTCGCTCGGGTAGCCGTAGAAGTTGATATCTCCAAAGCTCTGGTGCCTCGAATTTGGCTTGACGACAAGTGGCAAACGGTTGAATATGAGAACCTTCCTGCGGTTTGTTTTGATTGCGGGAGGATCGGACACAATAAGTGAACATGTCCCCGGAATAAAACGCAAGAGACACCAGCCCAAGGTATCGTCGCCGGAGGGTCGCCGCCGGGCAGCCAGCCACAACCACCAGAGGATTCCAACCCGGGGTTTGGGCCGTGGATGCTGGTATCTAGAAAATCCCGGCGGAAATCGGGGGATGGGCAAAGAAAAGGCAAGGAGGAGCATGATACAGGGAATCAAATCACAATTGCCAAGAATAAGAGTCTTGAAGCCGCCGGCAAGGACGTAATTCAGCCGCATTCTCTGTTGACAACCTCCAACGGCCCTATAATCCAACGGGATTCAGTCCAAGAAAGGAAAGTGGTGATTAATGGGAATAAAGGCGGAGCGGATGCGCAGAAAGGTAAAGGGAAAGCGGTCAAAGAGAATACAGGGAAAGGGAAGGGCCTCCTTGGGCCTGGGCCCAAAACAAGGGAGGCAGTTGCAGGGCCAAAGCCAAGTTCGATGAATGGGGCCTCGTCTTCAAGCAATCGGCCAGATTTGCTTACCTGCCAACAGCCTACTTCGAAAAGCCAGGATTCGAAAAGCCCGGAACTGACAGATGGGCCTTCAACCCAGAGCGGGGTCAGCGTTCTGCCAGATCCTCCCACCTTCAAGACTTTTATGGGCCCTAATGGAACTTTGATGCAGATCATTGAAAGCCCACAACCCTCAAGAGTTATCGGTGACACAGCCCCTTCTCTGACTGCAAGAACGAAACGGAACAAGGGGAAGAAAGTTCAAGGAAAGAAATCGCCGACCAAGTTGAACCCGATGAAGCCTCTCCAAATCTGGTCTCTGGTCAAGGATAGGAAGCCAAAATCTAAATCGCGCTTTGCGTCCCTGACTTTGCAGGAAATTAGCACCTGGACGGAGGCAGCGAAGAAGCCAGCGAATGACGATAGGGAGAAGGAGAAGCCTGGGTCGGTGGAGCAGCTACATGCCGTGGCTCAGGATGATATTGCTCGCACTTAGGCGAGTCGGCGCGCCTCATCTTCCTTCTTGGTGGATTCGTGCCGCTCTGGGTCGGTGCCTCTTTATTTCTATGTCGATGGTTTACACATTAAAAGTTCTGTCATGGAATGTCGGTGGTGCGGGGAGCAGATCTTTTGATCGAGCTCTGAAATTGGTTATCCAGAATCATCGCCCAGATTTTGTGGTGCTCCTGGAGCCTCAACTGAGTGGCAATTCTGCCAATGCAATTTGTGATAAGCTTGGGTTCCCGAATTCATTCCGGGTGGAAGCGGAGGGACGTAAGGGTGGCGTGTGGATCTTCTGGGACGGGGGAATGTTCTCGGTGGAATTATTCTCGGCATGCTCGCAGCACTTGTCTCTCAAAGTCACTAGAGCTAATGAACCTCCCTGGATGCTATCTGCAGTCTATGCATCTCCCCGGCAAAGTGAACAGAAGTTTCTCTGGGAGAGGTTGATTACCCAAAGCAGACACATTGATATCCCTTGGCTGCTCACAGGGGATTTCAATGCCATTAGTAAACCGGAGGAAAAAGCAGGCTCTCCTACGAGGAACACGCTAAGGAGATGTCAATTTTTCACCGAGAGAATGAATCTTGCGGAGCTGGTTGACCTCGGGTTCTCGGGACCAAAGTTTACCTGGTCTAGAGGAGATCAAAGTCATACGTACAAGGCCAGCAGACTGGATAGGAGCTTGTGCAATCTCCACTGGAATTTAGCCTTCCCCAACTGCTCGGTTATCCATCTCCCTCGCCTTCAGTCGGATCATAGCCCCATTCTCACCAGCGTGGGGTCCCAAGCGGTTCAGAATCAGAATGTGAGGCCTTTCAGGTTTGAAGTGGCCTGGTTGACCAATGCCAATCTCCACAACGTGGTTAAGGAAGCCTGGGATGCTAATAGCCCGTTGCATAATGCCCTGCAAACAATGGCAGATA